GTTGGAACTCAGACCTCCAGGCACAGTCAGGCCATTATATGCTAATCAAGGTGGTCAGTTGAAACATTCACACCTAGATCCAGCAGACAAGAGTCCTTTGTCTCACCCTGGTCATTCCACAGATATATAAACCCTTTTTCCTAGTTCCAACAGACCTCACTATCTCTGAGGATTCTTGCCATAGATGCAGGCGAAACATCAGGAGAGAATGCCTCTAGACCATGGCCATACAGCCCGAAAAAACCTACAACAACCCAACATACATTGTTTTTAAACCAATGGCTTTCCTTACTAGTTGTCCACGGCCCATCCTTTCATCCAAACTGTTCTGTTTTTGTGGGAGACAAAAGACACAAGTATTTAAAAATATATCTGTACCCAAACACAATAAATATCAGGGAAAGGTGAGAACAAAAAAAAGGAGAATTGATATTTTTTCTTGTCATTTTTTGAAGGCTTAAAACATGATGATTCCAACCACAACAAATATTTTTGATTGTAGAAGACCTCATTTATGGAGCTAGGTAAAAAAGCAACCTCGGAGAAGTCAAGCGCAGTCCTAAGCAAACACAAAACACAGGTTTCTGTATGTCTGAATGAACCTTTCCCCCTCCACTTGAGTTGAACCAGCTCCGTAATATCAAGGTTTCAAAAGGGAACTTCTGTGAGATTTCTGAGTGTATCAGATCAAAGCAAATGATGAGTAATCCATGCAGACCGCTTACACAAACGGGTATTTGTTCCATTTTGTTCTAATAAACATGGACTGAATAATTTCTTTTATTAAGCAAAACAGTTCTGCATCACTTTGGACGAGAGGAGTCTACGTGGAACAATGACAACAAACCAAAACAAAGATGAGTACGTTCGTTCCCAACTTACAGCCAACTTCATATAATTTCTAATTCATAGACAGACCTATCACAGGAGTTTCTTGGCAAAATTGGTTCAAATGGGATCGGTCATTGCTTCCTTCCTGACAGACATCACCCAATGGGATTCTATTGCCAGGTAAGGATTCGAATCCTGTTTCCAGAGTCATAATCTAATGGTCAAACCACTACCACTACATCATACTTTTGTGTGTGTGTCAGGAGTGACTTGAGAAACTGCAAGTCACTTCTGGTGTGAGAGAACTGGCTGTTTGCAAGGACGTTGCCCAGGGGACGCATACTGGGAGGCAGTCGCTCAACATTAAACTCTTATTATCCTTGATGTAAGAATAGAGATTATATAGTGAGATCCCTATCACTCAGTAATGTCCAACCTTTGGCCATCCTGGTGTTTTGGATTCCAGTTACCAGAATTCCTGACTATTTCACAAGCTACCCATGGCTTTAGAACAGGCATGGGCAAATTCGACCCTCCAGGTGTTTTGGACTTCAACTCCCAGCCAGTAGGCTGTTAGGAATGGTGGGAGTTGGAAGTCCAAAACACTTGGAGGGTCAAAGTTTGCCCATGCCTGCTTTAGAGTCTCAACCACCTGCCATAACTAAACCTATATCCAGGGCACAGATGACTACATCTGTTACATATACCTACAGCAGTGGTTTCCAACCTATGGTCCATGGATCACCAGTGGTCCCCAAGAACAAAAATATGGTCTGCAGCCTCACCATTACAACACCACTGCCTCGAAACCACACAGCAATGAGAGCGACTGGTCTCAGGGAACCCTCTTATAGTGCCAAGGCAATGAGGATGTCGGGAGGGGAGACGTTGACTACCCACGAAAGATGACTACCACCATATCAGGTCTAGATTATTAAATATGGTTTTTTGTGGGTGAACAGATGGCAACTACTGGATGGCATATGTTCTGTGTCAGAAACTAGAGCTGATGCAGTTTATCCAATGCAATTTTCTGAATCAGTACCCCAAATAATCAAACCAAATCTAACATTGACCAAAAACTGATTCCTAACCCTTTTGGTACTAATGTTGGAGAGTGGTCCCTGGTCAAAATGGTTCTCAAAAGGTTGGGAACCACTGATCTGCAGGGATCCCTCCTGGAAAAAATGGAGTTTACAGTGTTCCTTCTTGACCCATCAATGATACAAACCCATGGCTGTGGCCCTGGATGTGCGAGAAGTAGGTGCAAAGCTATCACACTGGGCACAAAAGACAAACCAATACGAACCCTGTTAAAACTTTCATAGAATCATAGAGTTGGAAGAGACCTCCTGGGCCATCCAGTCCAACCCCATTCTGCCAAGAAGCAGGAATATTGCATTCAAAGCACCACTGACAGATGGCCATCCAGCCTCTGTTTAAAAGCTTCCAAAGAAGGAGCCTCCACCACACTCCGGGGCAGAGAGTTCCACTGCTAAATGGCTCAGGAAGTCAGGAAGTTCTTCCTCATGTTCAGATGGAATCTCCTTTCTTGTAGTTTCAAGCCATTGTTCTGCATCCAAGTCTCCAGGGAAGCAGAAAACAAGCTTGCTCCCTCCTCAGTATGACTTCCTCTCACATATTTATTCAAGGCCTGAGATAAGAGGAAAACAGCTGAATTGTACAAGGAATTTCTGCTTGGATGCTGTTCAAGATACCCTTTGTGTGGCTCTCCAAAACGCTCATTATGTTGTCTTTCCCACCAATCTTTTCTTATACATATATGGGAATAGTCCATTATTCACTGCATACCCTTTGTTTGGCTCTCCAAAACACTCATTATGTTGTCTTTCCCATCATTTTTTTTCTGATACATACAAGGGAATAGTCCATTATCCACTGCATGCAAACCTTGTTGTTGTTGTTGTTGTGTACCTTCAAGTTGTTTCCAACTTATGGTGATCCTTAGGCAAACCCATCTTAGGTTTACTCAGCAAGATTTGTTCCAGGGTTTACCATGGCTTTCCTCTGAGAATGAGAATGCGACTCCAGTGGACTTCTGTGGCCTAATCTTCTCTGTCTTCGCCCAATGCTCAAATCACTACACCACACTAAGGACTTCATCACACTCAATTTAAACCCGGTTGCTGCCTCCTGCAGAATTCTGGGGCTTGTAGTTTAGGGAGGGGGCTTTAAAATGCTCCACCAGAAAGGTCCCGGGCCTCACTAAACTACAAACCCCAGAAAGATGCTCCACTTAGGCAGAAAAAAATGAAATGCAAAGAGACAGAATGTGGCACGGTGCCTGGCTCGACACCAGTACCTGTGAAAAAGATCTTGGAGTCCTCGTGGGGAGGAAGGGGAACATGAGCCAAGAATGTCATGCAGCAACTAAAAAGGCCAATGGGATTTTGGCCTGCATCAATAGGAGTCTAGTGTCAAGATCCAGGAAAGCCATGCTCCCCATGCTCTCTTCTGCTTTGGTCAGACCACACCTGAAATCACGCTGTGCCCAATTCTGCACAGCAATCAGAGGGAGATGTTGACAAACTAGAATGTGTCCAGAGGAAGGCGACTAAAATGATCAAGGGCCTGGAGAACAAGCCCTATGAGGAGCGGCTGAAAGAGCTGGACATGTTTAGCTTGCAGAAGAGAAGGCTGAGAGGGGACATGCTGAGGGCCATGGATCAATATGTGAGGGGAACTCATAGGGAGGAGGGAGCAGGCTTGTTCTCTGCTGTCCTGGAGACTACGACACAACAGAACAATGGCTTCAAACTACAAGAAAGGAGATTCCATCTGAACATGAGGAAGAACTTCCTAACTGTGAGAGCGGTTCAGCAGTGGAACTCCCTGCCCCGGAGTGTGGTGGAGGCTCCTTCTTTAGAGGCTTTTAAGCAGAGGCTGGATGGCCATCTGTCTAGGGTGATTTGAATGCAATTTTCCTGCTTCTTGGGAAGGGATTGGACTGGATGGCCCGTGAGGTCTCTTCCAACTCTTTGATTCTATGATTCTAACTCTCTCTCAGCCCCAGAGTGTGGTGGCGGATTCTTCTTTGGAGGCTTTCAAGCAGAGGACATCTGTCGGGGGTGCTCTGAATGTAATTTGTCTGCTTCTTTGCAGAATGGGGTTCGACTGGATGGCCCACGAGGTCTCTTCCACCTCTATGATTCTATGAAATCTGCAGGACTCAGCAATTGGATTTAAGTAGATCCGCGCTCTAGTGTGATGAGGTCCTGAGTCTCCGATTTGAAACAGATTACCATCATTCAAGAACCGGGGCAATGCCCCTAACACAGTTATGATTGAAATTTAAAATTTTAAGTGAGTGAAGAAACATTGTGCCTCAAACTTTCGGGGGTGCAAAGGTGGACCACAGAGGCGCCCAGGAGTGCAACTTAGAGAAGTTGCTAGTTCGGTGAGTTGAAGAGTTTACCACAGATACTTCAATGGCAACTGCTGAAGGACGGAGCTTCATCTTATCCAGTGCTTAGCTTCATTTTAAAAGCCCTCTGCAAGCCAGCGCTGAAACCTTTGCAAGAGTGATTTCTCTTTTTTCTCAGCTGAGAGGAAATGGGTTAAAGGAAAAGAAAGGGGAAATTGAGCGCAGATTTGGGCATTTCCCTGTTTACCGCCAATTCCAGGCCTTTGGTGCTGTTGGCGTGTGGACTCCAATCCACCACCCTAAAATTATCCAAAAATTATCCAAAGGGTGAAAAGGCTGCTGCACCCTAGTTTTAAAGTCCTTCTCTCCCAGAAGAACAGTTTTTCTCTTTCTGGCTTCATCCAGAGCTGATTGCATTTTTACAATCCTGCCCATGTTTACCAAACAGGACAAGCAAGTTGGTTGTTCCTGTTGCAGCTTTCCTACCATCTTCCCCAAAGTCCAGACCAGTATGGTGCTCATATTCATGAAATCTCCACCCTGATTTCCCTCCTGGAGCAGGTAATTCAGCTCCTCGTGTAAGTTTTGTGCATCACACTTGTAAAGGGCTGGTGTGTAGAGGCTCTTGCCTTAAACCCAACACCATCATCATTCTGGTCCATTCTGTTGACATGAGTTCTGCTAAAACCCATAATCTAAACAAGAATGGGACTTCCATATAATGGAAGCTATCTGTGACCAGCCTTAAATACCCCTCCCAAACCCAAAGTTCTGACAAAACACATTTCCAGTTGCCTTGTTTTCTTGTTCATACTCCAAAATCTGGCTGTTTCTCTGCAACCTGCCGTGTTAGTATCTGATGGGAAGAAAAGGAAGCCACCCCGATGTGGAAGAGGATCTGCCAGATGTTCCTCAGTCCGTACAAATAAATGTTGCATAAACAGATTGTGACGTAAAGTATGAAGACCTTTATCTTCCTGGCTGAGCTGTAGAACAGGTAGAGATAGCACTGCAGAAAAAGAGGAGACAAAAGAGCAGTTTGCTATGTGGATCGCAAAACAGAGTACCAACATTGTTTACTTCAAATGGAATTAAGAGCTCCACATTGATTTAAAATACATCCATTTCACATCATGGTCAATCCCGAAGTGCCTAAAGGTTGCTAGAATTAAATAATATCCTAAGGATTAGAAGGCTTTTATTTTTCTAAAGTGAATGCCCCTTAAAGGCATTCTAAAGATGTAGTGTTGTTGTTGTGCCCCTTCACGTTGTTTCCGGCCTGTGATAAACCTAAAATGAATCTGTCGTATTTCTTACCAATAGTTACTCAGAGGTGGGTTGCCTTTTGCCTTACTATGCAGTCATAGAATCATAGAATTATAGAATCCTAGAGTTGGAAAAGACCTCATGGGCCATCCAGTCCAACCCCATTCTGCAAGAAGCAGGAATATTGCATTCAAATCACCCCTGACAGATGGTCATCCAGCCTCTGTTTAAAAGCTTCCAAAGAAGGGGCAGAGAGTTCCACTGCTGAACAGCTCAGGAAGTCAGGAAGTTCTTCCTCATGTTCAGATGGAATCTCCTCTCTTGTAGTTTGAAGCCATTGTTCCGCGACCTAGTCTCCAAGGAAGCAGAAAACAAGCTTGCTCCCTCCTCCCTGTGGCGTCCTCTCACATATTTATACATGGCTATCATATCTCCTCTCAGCCTTCTCTTCTTCAGGCTAAACATGCCCAGCTCCTTAAGCCGCTCCTCATAGGGCTTGTTCTCCAGACCCTTGATCATTTTAGTCGACCTCCTCTGGACACATTCCAGCTTGTCAATATCTCTCTTCAGTTGTGGTGCCCAGAACTGGACACAATATTCCAGATGTGGTCTAACCAAGGCAGAATAGAGGGGTAGCATTACTTCCCTAGATCTAGACACTATGCTCTTATTAATGCAGGCCAAAATCCCATTGGCTTTTTTTGCCGCCACATCATATTGTTGGCTCATGTTTAACTTGTTGTTCACGAGGACTCCAAGATCTTTTTCACACTACTGCTCTCGAGCGAGGCATTGTCCCCCATTCTGTATCTTTGCATTTCATTTTTTCTGCCAAAGTGGAGTATCTTGCATTTGTCACTGTTGAACTTCATTTTGTTAGTTTTGGCCCATCTCTCTAATCTGTCAAGATCGTTTTGAATCCTGCTCCTGTCCTCTGGACTATTGGCTATCCCTCCCAATTTGGTGTTGTCTGCAAACTTGATGATCCTGCCTTCTAACCCTTCATCTAAGTCATTAATAAAGATGTTGAATAGGACCCTGCGGCACTCCACTTGACACTTCTTTCCAGGATGAAGAGGAAGCATTAGTGAGCACCCATTTAACCAATTACAGATCCACCTCACCGTAGTTTTGCCTAGTCAAAAGAGTGTGGCTTGTACATGGTCACCCGTTGACTTCCATGTCAGAGTGGGGATTCAAACCACCATCGTCGGCATCATCGTCCAATGGTTAAACCATGATGGCATGCTGTCTTTAGTCACAATTGCATGCTCTGTATTTACAACCATCTACAAAACTAGCGGAAGAGAATTCAAGGTTATCTGAGGATGCTTCCCAGGCAAAGTTCAACCCTCCAGGTGTTTTGGATTTCAACTCCCACAATTCCTAACACAATTCCTAACCAGCTGTTTATAGATTATAGAGAAGGCATATGAAAAATGAAAAAATGAAATGCAAAGATACAGAATGGGGGGTGCCTGGCTTGAAAGCAATACATGTGAAAAAGACAGCAAGTGGACAGCAAGTTAAACATGAGCCAACAATGTGATGCGGCAGCAAAAAAAGCCAATGAGAATTTGGCCTGCATCAATAGGAGTCTAGTGTCTAGATCCAGGGAAGTAATGCTACCCTTCTACTGAGCCTTGGTTAGACCACACCTGGAATATTGTATCCAATTCTGGGCACCACAATTCAAGAGAAATGTTGACTTTAAGCTGGAATGTGTCCAGAGGACAACGACTAAAATGATCAAGGGTCTGGAGAACAAGCCCTATGAGGAGCGGCTTAAGGAGCTGGGCATGTTTATCCTGAAGAAGAGAAGGCTGAGAGGAGATATAGCCATGTATAAATATGTGAGAGGAAGCCACAGGGAGGAGGGAGCAAGCTTGTTTTCTGCTTCCCTGGAGACTAGGACGTGGAACAATGGCTTCAAACTACAAGCAAGGAGATTCCATCTGAACATGAGGAAGAACTTCCTGACTGTGAGAGCCGTTCAGCAGTGGAACTCTCTGCCCCGGAGTGTGGTGGAGGCTCCTTCTTTGGAGGCTTTTAAACAGAGGCTGGATGGCCATCTGTCAGGGGTGATTTGAATGCAATATTCCTGCTTCTTGGCAGAATGGGGTTGGACTGGATGGCCCATGAGGTCTCTTCCAACTCTATGATTCTATGGGCCACATCAACTTGTGGCAGGGGATGGCTAGTCTATATAAATAAAAATGTTATGTTTGTTTGTGGGATTAACATAACTCAAAAAACCCTGGACCAATTGCCACCCAATTTGGACACAAGACACTCACTAACCCAAGAGGCTGTTAGGAACTGTGGGAGTTGAAGTCCAAAACAAATGGAGAGCCGAAGTTGACCAATGCCTGATGTAGATTACAGAGCATAGAAGTTTGGCCTGAAGCCCTTCACATGTAAACATGTTTAAAATTACCGTATATTCCGGCATATAAGACGACTGGGCGTATAAGACGACCCCCAACTTTTCCAGTTAAAATATAGAGTTTGGTATATACTCGCCGTATAAGACCACCCCTCTTCCATCGCACACCAAATAAAAATAAAAAATAAAAACATCAGATTTGATTTCAAATCCAAGACTATCAAAGCAGTATCCAGCTCTTCGGCTTAGAAATGGAGATGAGCGCCAACCCCCAGAGCCGGACACGACTGGACTTAACGTCAGGAGAAAACCTTTACCTCACCTGTAAACTCCTGTATGTTTATTATTTATTTAACAGTTGTGGGTCCATGGAGCGTAATAAAGTTCTATAAATTTTTACCTTACCTTACCTAGAGTGAGACCAGGGCCGGGTCCAATGTCCTTTCCCCAACAACAACAACAATAATGGAAATCTAGAATTGGAAGGGACTCCAATGGCCATCCAGTCTAACCCTAATTCTGCCAGACAGGAACACATGTCCAAGCCCTCCCGACAGATGGCCATCCTGTTCTACTTAATAATAGCAATAACAACAATAATAGCAATAACAACAATAATAGAAGGGACCTCAATGACCATTCAGTCCAACCCCATTCCTGCCAGGCAGGAAGACACAATGCAAGCCTTCCCAACAGGTGGCCATACAACTCTGCTTAACAATAACAACAACAACAGAACGCTAGAGTTGGGACTCCAATGGCCATCCATTCCAACCCACTCACTCCTGCCAGGCAGGAAGACACAATGCAAGCCTCCCCAACAGGTGGCCATCCAGTTCTAGTTGCCATATATACTCGAGTATAAGCTGACCCAAATATAAGCTGAGGCACCTAATTTTGAACAGAAGCTCTCCGAAGCTCTAGGTGCTCTTACTGCCTATTACAGGGAAAACCAGCTGATCCCTAATCCATCTAAAACACAGACATGCGCCTTTCACCTTAAGCACAGACAAGCATCCCGAGCTCTGAGGATTACCTGGGAAGGAATCCCACTGGAGCATTGCAGCACCCAAATACCTGGGAGTCACTCTGGACCGTGCTCTGACCTACAAGAAGCACTGCCTGAACATCAAACAAAAAGTGGGTGCTAGAAACAATATCATACGAAAGCTGACTGGCACAACCTGGGGATCACAACCAGACACAGTGAAGACATCTGCCCTTGCGCTGTGCTACTCTGCCGCTGAGTATGCATGCCCAGTGTGGAACACATCTCATCACACTAAAACAGTGGATGTGGCTCTTAATGAGACATGCCGCATTATCACGGGGTGTCTGCGCCCCACACCACTGGAGAAATTACACTGCTTAGCCGGTATTGCACCACCTGACATCCGCCGGGAAGTAGCAGCCAATAGTGAAAGGACCAAGGCAGAGACATCTCCAGCTCATCCCCTGTTTGGGTATCAGCCAGCACGTCAACGACTTAAATCAAGAAATAGTTTTCTAAGATCTACAGAGACACTCGCTGGAACACCCCAGCAAGCGAGAGTCCAAAAGTGGCAGGCCCAAACCCAGCACCTCAATTCATGGGTGATACCAGATGAGAGACTCCTCCCTGGGCACTCAGAAGACTGGGCGACTTGGAAGGCGCTGAACAGATTGCGCTCTGGCACCACGAGATGCAGAGCCAATCTTAAGAAATGGGGCTACAGGGTGGAATCCTCGGCATGCGAGTGCGGAGAAGAACAAACCACTGACCACCTGCTGCAATGCAACCTGAGCCCTGCCATATGCACAAGGGAGGACCTTCTTGCGGCAACCCCAGAGGCACTCCAAGTGGCCAGATACTGGTCCAAGGACATTTAACCAAATACCAAATTTACAAAATCTGTGTGGTTTTTTTTTCTTTTTTTTTTTCTTTTTAATCTCTGTGTTTGTTTTGCTCTGTTAGAATTGTAATACAATGGTTGCTGATGACACGATAAATAAAACCTAATTTTATGACCAAAAACTGGGAAAATTTATTGACTCGAGTATAAGCCAATGGAGGGAAATGCAGCAGCTAGTGGTAAGCTGAGGAGACAGAAGTTGTCATAAAGCCATCTTGTGCAGCTTCCAAAACCCAACACGTGAGAACATTTTGCACTGCAGCCAGATATTTCCAAGGTCATGCCCAAAGGGTTTGATGAATATACCCTTTTTGAGATAGATCTAAATCAGGCATGGGCAAACTGTAGCCCTCCAGGTGTTTTGGACTTCAACTCCCACAATTCCTAACAGTCAGTATTTGAGAACACAGAAATGCTGGACCACTCTCACAACCACCATGTCAGACTCCACAGAGAAGCCATTGCAATCCACAAGAAGCATGTGGACAATTTCAACAGAAAGGAGGAAACCATGAAAATGAACAAAATCTGGCTACCAGTATTTAAAAAAACTCCTCTAAAATCAGGACAGTAAATAAAAAACAACACTCAAAAGCAGGGGAAATCCAGACAATAAAAAATCAGGACCAACTAACACCTCCCAACAAAGGATTCCCCCAGGCAGGAAGCAGCCAGGCTTTGAAGCTGCAAGGCCATTCAATGCTAATCAAGGTAGCCAATGGCAACATTCCCACTTGCCTCAAGCAGACAAGAGTTCTTTCTCCCACCCTGGACTTTCCACAGATATATAAACCCCACTTGCCATGTTTCCAACAGACCTCACAACCTCCAAGGATGCCTGGCATAGATCTGGGCAAAACATCAGGAGAGGACACTTCTTGAACATGGCTATACAGTCTGGAAAACTCACAGCAACCCAGCCAGTAGCTGTTAGGAATTGTGAGAGTTGAAATCAATCTGATAGAAAACTGGGACTTGTAGATTGGTATGGTACTGGCTCTCTTAAACAGGGAAGGCTAAGGACCTTGTAAAACTACAACTCCTGTGATTCCATGGCACTGAATCTGTGGCAGTTTTTTGGGGGGGATTCCCCTTTAAGAGTAGATGGCCCTTGCACTGGGACTTCCCCTTTAAGGCTGCCTCGCTCTTGGCTGCAGAAACAAAACCAAAGGGGGGAAAGAGACCTTTTTCTTCCTCCCTCTGCAGGCTATTGAAAACTTTGAAAACTTAAGAGCGGCTGTTCTTTCAGAGGGAGCTGAACACAGAGACAGGAAAGAAACCCCAAAGAGGGGAGGGAGAAAGAAGAAGTTTCTCCAGCAGGACTTTCTCGGAGGAGGTGCCTTTGTTTGGACTCTCCTTGAGTAGCACTGTTTGAGGAAGGAGAGGAGAGGGAGAAAGAGGCTTGGGGGCAGCCTCTTCTGCCCCTTTTTCCTTCAGGAGGAGGACGACGGGGAGGAGGAGGAGCGGCAGCGGCTGCGCTGCTTGGGGATGGCGAGGGGGGAGGAGGAGGAGGATCGGCAGGTCTGCCGGGAGGGCTGGCCAGCTGAGCTGCCAACAGCAGGCTCCCTTTGGCCTCTCATGGCTGCTCGCGTCCCTCTCTCTCGGCATCCTCAAGTGGTGGAACTTATAGCCGGCACACAAGACGACCCCCCCCCCCACTTTTAAGATGACTTTCTTGGCTTAGAAAGTCGTCTAATATGCCGATTTTTACGGTAAAGGCTTTCCTGGCTCTCAAAAGAGAACAGGAAAAGAGATAAAAGCACCATCCAAAATATAGAAAATATAACAAGTTACCTACCAACAGGAAACAGGCTACAAAAGGCAGAAGGAATGCTATTACTTTCCCAATTCCTGTGCGATCTTCCTGTTGAAAAATGATGTTTTTGAAGGTCAAATGAAGTTAAAAACACCACACAAAGTACATTTTAAAAAATCAGAATTGCTTTGCTCCCATTTGGAAAGCTGTAATCTCCCCAATTACCTGAAAAGAATACTCTGCAAGATGAACTCCTCGAATGAGATTCAAGGCACCACACATGATGTTGAGAACCAGAGATAAAATTCCCAATGGAGACACTGGTTGCATTCGGTAAGCGGGGGCTTCAGGCCAGTTCAAGAAGGGACAAACAAACAAACAAGAGAGAGACACAACTGAGCATTGCGAAAACATTCAAAGCCTGTCATTATGCTTGTTGCATACACTATTTCAGCAATCATTTTCTAGCTCAAACAGTTTGTATATAATATATTTTGTGTACCATTTATTTCTACCCTCCCACTTTAAGAACAAGGGAGCAGATGGAAATACTTAGAATAAAGAGGGTGTGATTGGCACAATGGGTTAAACTTTTGTGCTGCTGAACTGCTGACCTGAAGGTTGGCAGTTTGAAGTCATGGATCGGGGTGAGTTCCTGCTGTTAGCCCTAGCTCCTGCCAACCTAGCAGTTTAAAAACATGCAAGTGTGAGTAGTTCAATAGGTACCGCTTCAGTAGGAAGGTAATAAAGGCACCCATGCAGCCATGCTGGCAACACGACTGGATGTGTCTACAGACAACAGGCTTTTCAGCTTGGAAATGGGAAAAAAGAGCACCTCCCCATGGCCACAGTTGAGCACTGACTCCAGAAGCCAGAGATGAAAGGGGAAGCCTTTACCTTTGCTCTGTGTATTTGTGTGTCATTGTTATTTCACTCTGTTAAAGGCACTGAATGTTTGCCTATCTGTGAATGCTGTAATCCATTCTGACTCCCGTCGGGGAGATAGAGCAGAATATAAATAAAGTGTTGTTGTTGTTGATAACACGAAATAACTCTCTGTGATATGATATTGGTCACAGGGTATGTAAAGCACTTAATTTGTTCCAACTGTTTTGCTTTACTACAGCAAAGAGAGTATTCCTTATCCAAAACATTTGTGACCAGAAGCATTTTGGATTTTGGAATGCCTCTAAGTTGCATATATGTACATAATGAGATATAGGCTGAATATCCTTTATTTGAAATACCTAGGACTAGAAGTGCTTTGTATTTCAGATTTTTTTAAATTTTTGTAATATCTGTAGTTACATAAAATGTGCATAATGAGATCTCAGGTAAATGGGATCCAAGTCTAAATATTTATCTTTTTATTATTTATCTGCCTTTGGACCTTGCACCTTACCAGGTTCGGCATGGAGCTCCGTGTGGCCATTCACCATCCCGTTCATCAATGCCGTGTCTTCCAACCGGACAAGAGCAGGAGGCTGCAAGCGAAGCTCTTCCTGGATTTTTTCCATGTTGAATGCTGTCTGCGCACAGTTTGTGTAATTGAAACGGCTTTTGACTTTCTGAATGACATTGTCTGCAGCAGGGAAGCAAGAAAAGTTATCTCTGAAAATAAGAACATATATTTGAATGTGCTTCATTGAAAGAGCGGATAAACTAAGACTAAGAATCAAGATGTCCTCAAAACTGTATCTGTGCAGGGTTTTTATTTAGCACACAACAGGTGGGTACACATCTGTTTCCAGAGAATTAAAAATCTAAGGAAAGCTAAGGATGGGTGTATTGTTTTGTAATTTGTTCATATATACTGTGATTGGGAGTGACATTTAATTATGTACAATGACAATGTTATGTTTATGTTTTGATGTGGCATCGGATTATGCCAAGCTATAAGCCACTCTGAGTCCTCCTCAGGGGTGAGATAGGGCAGGATAGAAATATGATAAATAAAGCTGGATCTAGCAGCAGGAGCTCACCCTGCTCCCACATTTGAACCTGCAACCTTTTGATCAGCTGGTTCAGAGGCTCAGCAGTTTAACCCACTGCACCACTGGGGGCTCCACACTTATTAGAAGTTACTGAGGGCAATACTTTGTTTGCAGAAACAAGGAATACACATAACATTTCTGTAGAGCTAAGTATTACTGCATTCAAAAACTGTCATTTAGAAAGTAAAATAACACCAACACCACCCCTTGGTTTGGGTAGACGATTAAGTGATATAACTAAGTTAAGCCATCAAAACCTCAACATCCAGGAGAAAAACTCAACCAAAGAACCTTCTCATAAGTAAGAATCCACAATTTCAACAGATTGTTTATCTAATTCCTTTCCTTCATGAAGACATGCCAGGAAACCTAACGGGCAATATTATCTGTGCTGCTGATTTTTTTTTAAACATGCTATTTGCTACAAGTTACTGAAGAGAAACAAAACAAAACAATCGTGCTACACACCAAATTCAAGAAAAGCATATGGCCTGGATGCCAGGCCCACACTTGCAGCATCATAAGTAGTGGCAAATTCCCACTGGAGCTCTTCCAGGAAGCAGAAGGCCATGACTGAGGGATAGCTGTTTCTGCAGATGCCCATGCAGGCAATGTCTCCCGAGGAATGGAAGCTGAAAAGAAAAAGATCCAAGATTTGTAATGAGTAAGACACACACAAACACACACAAACAAATAAAGAAGCAGCCACAAACACTACCAAGGGCTGAATATGTGAATATAAAATTAATGGATAAGGGGAGTTGTACCGCATTGGTCTATAGCAAAATATACACAACATTGAGTTAGAGGAGAAGAAAGCAAAAATAAAGCAATGGTGGTACGTTGTCCGCATCTAAACTATTTAATGCAGTTTCAAAACAGTATTGCAGAATGTGGTTTCTCTGTGCAGATGATTACATCGGAAATCTTGAAAGTAGTTTGAAGCCTGAATGGTTATTGCACAAGCACTGATGTATATTAAAGCCTTTTGTTGTGTACATCTGCAGAAAATTGTTACCTGATTGTCACAGTTTGAAGCTCACTTCAAGCTGCATTAAATGGTCAATGTAGCTCTTAGCACAGTCATGGACAAACTTGGGCCCTCCAGGTGTTTTGGACTTCAACTCCCACAACTCCTAACAGCCTATCAATTGTTAGGAATTGAGGGAGTTGAAGTCCCAAACATCTTAAGGGCTGAAGTTTGCCCATGCCTACCTTAGCTTCTGTAAAACATTATAAAGCTATGATCACACTTCTTCAGTTTTTTCCTTCAGACCTTTTTATTATTAAAAATCAGGACACATTACCCTCAAAAAATGCTCAAGAAGCCGTGCATAAAAGTGACACCAAGCAGAAACAGAAACCCATCTTACTGTATGCTGAGGTCACGTTCGGTGGCTGTACCCCGCTCTGGATACTGTGTCAAGATGGATGATAGGGCCTTGAGTTTCTTCCGGCATTCCAAGAAGTCCTGGTCGAGGTGGAAGTCTGTGGAGGCCGAGAGTGGGAGTCCGTCCCTCACCCGCACCACGCAGGCAAAAAGGATCATGGACATCCTCCACTGGGGAACTCATGGGGACAGGCTGGGGACAGATATTTCGTTTAGTGTATCTCCATGCTGCTCTCCAAGATCACAATACAGGAAAACAAGATAAATCATAGAACCATACAGTTGGAAGAGACCACAAGGACCATCCAGTTCAGCCCCCTGGTACGCAGGAGCACACAATAAAAGCTATCCCAACAGATGGCCAGCCAAGCCTCTGCTTAAAAACCTCCAGGGAAGGAAACTTAACTGGACCCCCAGATAGTAACATATCCTACTGCAGTGGTTCTCAACCTGTGGGTCCCCAGGTGTTTTGGCCTACAACTCCCAGGAATCCTAGCCAGTTTACCAACTGTTAGGATTTCTGGGAATTGAAGTCCAAAAACATCTGGGGACCCCAGGTTGAGAACCACTGTCCTACTGCCATATAGCTATTTCCGTCAGGAAGTTCTTCCAAAATGTTTAGGTGGAATCTTTTTTCCTGCAATTTGAACCCACTGCTCCATGTCCTAGCCTCCAGTGTAGCAGAAAACAAAACTGGAAAGCTAGATGAAAGCCCAAGGAAGTAGCAAGCTTATAAATGGAGACCAAGCACCAAGATGTAAAATAAGTGGTCACCTACTATTAATGCTGTTTGACACTTCAATTGCCATGGCTCAATGCTACAGAGTCATGGGAGATGTAGTTATACAGGGTCATAGTTTGGGCTTTACCAAAGTAAAAATCCCAATATTGCATAGCACTGAGCCATGGTACTGAATAATTAATTCCAATCAACAGATCAGACAATGCAATGAAAGTGGTGACAAGCTCCATTATTTCTACAGTACAGATATATCCTAAGTCATAGAATCATAGAATCAAAGAGTTGGAAGAGACCTCATGGGCCATCCAGTCCAACCCCCTGCCAAGAAGCAGGAATATTGCATTCAAATCACCCCTGACAAATGGCCATCCAGCCTCTGCTTAAAAGCTTCCAAAGAAGGAGCCTCCACCACACTCCGGGGCAGAGAGTTCCACTGCTGAACGGCTCTCACAGTCAGGAAGTTCTTCCTAATGTTCAGATGGAATCCCCTCTTCTCACAACCACAGACACACACCATACCTTTCCAGATCTGATTATTCACTGATTTCAATAATTGGGAATCTCTAGGAATCCAGTGGAGGTTGACCACTAATTATTTTAGTTAGTGAACCATAACTAGAAAGATCTTATCATTCAGACACCCTTTGTACAAAAATTAAGAGATTCCAGAGATGGATAACTATGAAATTTGAGAAAGCATGCCTTCTGTTAAAGTGCAGCCAGAATGAAGCACTTATTTTAATATTCCAGTAAACTCTGCAAATGATAACTGATTATTCTACTCTCACCTAAAGTTTTAAAAACACAAGCAATGTTTTTCATCTCTTATAAAGAGGAAGCATCAGCATTTAAAAGCACAATTACCAACATAGAGAACAGAAAAGACCATGAATGTCATTGATGCCTACAAAGCATATGCATAACAACCACCCAATCTCGACTTACAAGATAAAAAGTGCACCACGTCAGACAAGACTTCAGCCACATTCCAAAGTATCATTCCAGCTCTGAACTTGCCACAGTGAACCTTTTATCAGCCTTATGTTAAAGATCAATGAGCTTTTCATGCCCTCTAGCACTGCTAGACATAGAAATGTTCCTCAGTCTTAAAGCTTCATATATGTCCTGCTTTATGCAAAATGCATTATTAGGGACGCCTTAGTATACACTAGAACTTTTGGCTATGTTTTCGCCCCAGCGGGTTTTTGTAGGTCTGCTTCTGAACTCTTTTATGTACATAGACTAGAATACTTTTATTGTTATTGTACTATTACACAACACAATTCAATGCCTTCCCCAGAACACACCACAAAACAACACACCCATCTCCCCACACTCCAACCACCACCACACAGCCCCCAATACCACATCAATGCAAAACCATGGAGTTCAACATAGCCACAGCTCTAGGAAAAAAGCTGTCTCTCAATCTGTTTGTCCTTGCCTTGGTCACCCTGAACCATCTGGGTGGCAATAAACAAATAAAAAGGATATGCTGGGTGAGATGAATCCCCAAGAATGCTCTGAGCTTTCTTAAGGCTGCGGAAACTATAGAGATCATCCAAAAAGGAGAGAGGGCAACCAATGTGCAGAAGTAGTGATCCTTTGGAGTGCCTGCTATCTGCCACTATGCAGTTACCAAACTCACGTCCAGATACAGTAAGTAAGGACCCTATCTGTAGCACAGGAATAGAAAGTCACCAGCAGTTTTTCATTCAGTTGTTGGTTCCTTAAAAGTCTCAGGTAGTATAATATCTTCTGTGCCCTCTTCAGCAATACTGCTGTATGAACTCTGCCCCAGATCAGATCCTCCTTAACAGTTACACCCAGGAACTTAGAACTGGCCATCTGCTCCACTTGGTCTCCTTTATGACCAACGGCTGGATTTCTGGTCTGTTCGTTTTATAATCCTCTATGAGCTCCTTAGTCTTATTGAACCAGATTATTATCCCTGCTCCACAAGAGCAACCGATCCATCTCATCCCATTAGACAGACTCATCCCCTTCAGAGATAAGCCCCACCATGGTTCTATCATCTGTGAAATTGGTGATGATATTGCTATGGTGGATGGGGGTACAATCATGTGCATACAAATTGTTTAGGACCTCTTTCTAGAGCGTATGTGTCATTAATGAAGATGTTAAACAGGACCAGGACGGAACTCTGTTTATGGCACTCCACTCATCACTTCTTTCCAGGATGAAGAGGAAGCATTGGCAATCCATGGGCCAACTTGGGCCCTCCCTAAAGCCAACCTTAAAAACTGTGGCATTGACACAGAGAACTGGGAAGTCCTGGTTCTTGACAGCTCTAGCTGGAACTCAGCTGTAACCAGCAGTGCTGTAGAATTTGAAGAGGCATGACTGGAGGGCAAAAGAGAGAAACGTGCCAAGAGGAAGGTGCGTCAAGCCAACCCTGACTGGGACCGCCTTCTACCTGGAAACCGATGCCCTCACTGCAGGAGAACATGCGGGTCAAGAATAGGGCTCCACAGTCACCTACTTACTCACCACCAGGAAACTGAATTTGGAGGACAATTTTACTCGGACAATGAGGGATCGCCTAAGTAAAGTAAGGACAGGTGCTTAGGACTTCAACTTTGTTGTTGTTTATTTGTTCAGTCACTTCCAACTCTTCATGACCTCATGGACCAGCCCACGCCAGAGCGCCCTGTCGGCCGTCACCACCCCCAGCTCTTTCAGGGTCAAGCCAGTCACATCAAGGATATCATCCATCCATCTTGCCCTTGGCTGGCCCCTCTTCCTTTTTCCTTCCATTTTCCCCAGCATCATTGTCTCCTCCAAGTTTTCCTGTCTTCTCATGATGTGGCCAAAGGACATCCTTTATGCCTCTAATAATCTTTCTCTCCAGTGAGCAGTCGGGCTTTATTTCCTGAAGTATGGACTGGTTGGATCTTCTCGCAGTCCAAGGCACTCTCAGAACTTTCCTCCAACACCACAGCTCAAAAGCATCGATCTTCCTTCGCTCGGCCTTCCCTAAGGTCCAGCTCTCACATCCGTAGGTGACTACAGGGAATACCATGGCTTGGACTATGTGGATCTTCGTTGCCAGAGTGACGACTCTACTCTTCACTGTTTTATCAAGATTGGTCATTGCTCTCCTTTCAACTGGCTGTTAGGAATCTTGGGTTTTTTTTATGTTTAGCTGCAACCCAGCTTTTGCGCTTTCTTCTTTCACCTTGATTAGAAGGCTCCTCAGCTCCTCCTCGCTTTCAGCCATCAGAGTGGTGTCATCTGCATATCTGAGGTTGTTAATGTTTCTTCCAGCAATTTTCACCCCAGCTTTGCATTCATCCAGCCCCGCACATCCTCGCATGATGTGTTCTGCATACAAGTTAAAAAGGTTGGGTGAGAGGATGCAGCCTTGCTGTCCGCCTTTCCCAATCTTGAACCAGTCTGTTGTTCCGTGGTCAGTTCTGACTGTTGCTACTTGGTCCTTGTACAGATTCCTCAGGAGAGAGACAAGGTGGCTTGGGATGCCCATCCCACCAAGAACTTGCCACAATTTATTATGATCCACACAGTCAAAGGCTTTAGAATAGTCAATGAAGCAGAAATAGATACTTTTCTGAATTTATTTTATTTATTTGTCGTGTCAGAGCAACCAGTCCATTATATTACATTTCTAACAGAACAACGGAAACAAACAGAAAAATACACAACTTGTGAGTTTGGTAGCTGGTTAAATGTCCTTTGACCAGTATCTGGCCACTTGGAGTGCTTGGTGTTGCTGCAAGAAGGTCCTCCATTGTGCATGTGGCAGGGCTCAGGTTGCATTGCAGCAGGTGGTCAGTGGTTTGCTCTTCTCCACACTCGCATGTCGAGGATTCCACTTTGTAGCCCCATTTCTGAAGGTTGGCTCTGCATCTCGTGGTGCCAGAGCGCAGTCTGTTCAATGCCTTCCAAGTCGCCCAGTCTTCTGTGTGCCCAGGGGGAGTCTCTCATTTGGTATCAGCCATTGGTTGAGGTGCTGGGTTTGAGCCTGCCACTTTTGGACTCTCGCTTGCTGAGGTGTTCCAGCGAGTGTGTCTGTAGATCTTAGAAAACTATTTCTTGATTTAAGTCGTTGGTGTGCTGGCTGATACCCAAACAGGGATGAGCTGGAGATGTCTCTGCCTTGGTCCTTTCACTATTGGCTGCTACTTCCCGGCGGATGTCAGGTGGTGAAATACCGGCTAAGCAGTGTAATTTCTCCAGTGGTGTAGGGCGCAGACACCCCGTGATAATGCGGCATGTCTCATTAAGAGCCACATCTACTGTTTCAGCGTGGTGAGATGTGTCCCACTCTGGGCATGCATACTCAGCAGCAGAGTAGCATAGCGCAAGGGCAGATGTCTTCACTGTGTCTGGTTGTGATCCCCAGGTTGTGCCAGTCAGCTTTCGTATGATATTGTTTCTAGCACCTACTTTTTGCTTGAGTTCAGGCAGTGCTTCTTGTAGGTCAGAGCACGGTCCAGAGTGACTCCCAGGTATTTGGGTGCGCTGCAATGCTCCAGTGGGATTCCTTCCCAGGTGATCTTCAGAGCTCGGGATGCTTCTCTGTTCTTGAGATGAAAGGCACATGTCTGTGTTTTAGATGGGTTAGGGATCAGCTGGTTTTCCCTGTAGTAGGGGAAATTACTACTTTTCTGAAACTCCCTGCCTTTCTCCATTCTCCAGCATCCGGATATTGGCAATTTGGTCTCTCGTTCCTCTGCCTTTTCTAAACCCAGCTTGAACATCTGGCAACTCTCGCTCCATGTACTGCTGGAGTCTTCCTTGCAGGATCTTGAATATTACCTTCCTGGCATGAGAAATAAGGGCCACTGTACGGAAGTTGGAGCAAAAAAACCTACAACAACCCTTTTGACTTGGCTGGAAGGGAACCCCAAAGGCCATCCAGTCCAATCTATTTGTGCCAGGCGGGAAAACACAAACAAGCCCTCCCGACAGATGGCTATCTGGCCGCTGCTTAGAAACCTCCAGAGGAGACTCTACCATGCTAAATGGGGATTCTGGGAGTGGCATTTCCCAAAAGGGAAACCTCGCCGAGGCTCAAAAGGACTGCCAAAGAATATGGGGCGCTGTACGCTTGCGAAACCATCTCTTGCCTAAACACAACCCTATGCAATCTATAGGGATGGCTAAAAGTCAGCAGGGAAGCTGGAAAGTACGTCCCCGCATTGAGCTCGACGCCTTTAAACCCACTTCCCGACCACCGCCGTTTTCTTTCTGCCTCACCTGGCCTCCCGGAGCCTCAGACCTGCGCCGGAAACGGCCTCGAGCACAACAAACGCGTACGCCCCGCCCACTTCCGGCGACTGCTTTGAGACGCGGCCCGGTGTGGCCAATCGGAGCAGAGGACCGCGGCTTGAGCGACCAATCGGAGCAGACGCCGGAGAAGGAACGTCACGGGCAGAAAGCCGCCCACTCCCTAGAGGTCGGGACTCACACGCTTACAATATACACTTCCGGTTCTGAAGCGATAGAAATTTGGGTTGTTGTGAGTTTTCCGGGCTGAATGCGATTTTCTGCTTCTTGGCTGAATGGGGTTGGACTGGATGGCCCACGAGGTCTCTTCCAACTCTAGGATTCTGTGGCCATGTTCCAGAAGCATTCTCTCCTGACGTTTCACCTGCAGGGCAACTAAAATGATCAAGGGTCTAGAGAACAAGCCCTATGAGGAGCGGCTTAAGGAGCTAGGCATGTTTAGCCTGAAGAAGAGAAGGCTGAGAGGAGATATGATAGCCATGTATAAATATGTGAGAGGAAGCCACAGGGAGGAGGGAGCAAGCTTGTTTTCTGCTTCCCTGGAGACTAATTTTGGTGTAATCTTGATCTCTATTTTTATTATTGCTCTTATTTCTTTGAATATGCTTTCCCAAAATTTTTGTATAATATTACATGGCCACCACATATGAAGATACGTCCCTATTTCCTGACAACCTCTCCAGCACTGATTTGAGTATTTTTTTATCAATCTTATTTAATCTAATGGGAGTTAGATACCACCTCCATATCGTTTTATAGTAATTTTCCTTGATTCTTATTGTTGGTTTTCTGGTCTTCTGCTTCAAACATAAAACAGGAAAATAGCTCCTGTGCCCCTAACTCTACCAAATGTGAAGGGATAGCTATCTGCCCTTTTCTTCTTGAGCAGCTGCAAAGTGGAAATGCCACAGTTGCGGAAATGCCACATCTCCTTGCACACTTCCCCATTTGCTTAGAACAATGGCATCATTCAAAGCCTTCACCTTGGTTCCTAAAGGTCACTTGAAGCCTTGTTAGATAACATACAGGGAATAGTCCTCGGTTATCTCTTTTCTTGGCAGGCCAGGTCATTGTTCTTGGCATCCCCAATGTGGCATTAACTGTTCTCCATCTCTATTCTGGATAGCCACAAGGCAAGAATAATAATATTTATCTGATCAATACAAACAATTTACAAGGCCACTGTCTTACAACACTTCTCACCCACTGTCTCTAAAATTCTAGCTGCAAAGAACAAGATGTTGCTTGGCAAACTGGAGTCTTCCTTGCAATATATTATTCTGTTTCCCCAAAGGGACTCAGGGCGGTGAACAACAAAATCAGCAAACATTGAATGCTGCACAACAAACATAAGTAAGCAAAAACCCATCCCACTCAAATCCCAAAACAAATACGCATTTATACCAAAAGTAAGAATCATAAGAGGGACCGCCTCACCCCCTACCAACCCCTGAGATCCCTCTGTTCTGAGGACAAAGATCTATTGGAAATTCCCAGTGTCAAAAACTTGCATCTAACAGCAACCAGACGTAGAGCCTTCACAGCAGTGGCACCTGAAGTCTATGACTTGCGGGATTTATCAGCTTTCCGCAGGGCATGTAAGACATATCTATTTTGACGGGCCTTTGATCTCTGATTGTTTTTAAATTGTTTTAAATTGTGTTCGATTTTAGCCTGTTCTTGTAAGCCGCTCCGAGCCCCAGGGGAGTGGCGGCATATAAGTTCAATTAATAAATAAATTAAATTAAATAAAAACAGATGATAGCATATAAAATTTACAATTTCATAATAACAATTGAAAAACAACAAAATTATTTATGTAATTTAGTAATTTATTGTATTTTTATGTTCATTTATTTTTGAATTTATTGCTCCCCACCTCAAGCCATCAGAAGAATTGGATAATAAATAAAATGTTTTATTATCTATCTATCTATCAATAAGTAAAAGTATGTTGGCTGGTTGGTTTCTACAGCATAGGCTCCTTCTTGGTGTGATGGGAGCTGAACCAAACTTGGCATACATTATTCAAATTAAAATAAATGTGCGGTTAACTACAAAACACCTATTTCTGTTTTGTTGACAATTCTAAAGCCTTTGACTGTGTGGATCATAATAAATTGTGGCAAGTTCTTGGTGGTCTGGGGAGACCAAGCCACTTTGTCTCTCTCCTGAGAAATCTGTATAAGGACCAAGTAGCAACAGTAAGAACTCACCATGGAACAAGAGACTGGTTCAAAATTGGGAAAGATTGGGTTCAAGATTGCTGGAGTCTTCCTTGCAGGATCTTGAGCATTACCTTACTGGCATGAGTTGTATCCTCTCACCCAACCTATTCAACTTGTATGCAGAACACATCAAGCCACAAGCTGCACATCGCAAGTGCTGAACCTGACTCAACACATAGAAGATGGATTTGAAAGGCAGCAAATCACAGGAGCGGTCTTCATAGTCCTGTCAGTAGCTTATGATACTGTGAACCACCGCCTCCTCCTGAGAAAAATGTATAATATCACAAAGGACTACCACCTCCCCCGCCTCATAGGAAACCTGCTACAAAACAGGAGCTTTTTGTTGAGTCCCAGGGCCAGAGAAGCAGATGGCGGAAACAGAAGAACGGCCTGCCTCAGGGGAACGTGCTTGCTCCATCCATGTTCCAACATTTACACAAATGACCAGCCACTGCCAGAAGGGACAGAGAGTTTCATTTATGCTGATGATCGTGCCATTACTGCTCAAGCAAGGAGCTTTGAGATGGTTGCACAGAAGCTCTCCGAAGCTCTAGGTGCCCTTACTGCCTATTACAGGGAAAACCAGCTGATCCCTAACCCATCTAAAACACAGACATGTGATTTTCACCTCAAGAGCAGACAAGCATCCTGAGCTCTAAGGATCACCTGGGAAGGAATCCCACTGAAGCACTGCAGCGCACCCAAATCCCTGGGAGTCACTCTGGACCGTTCTCTGACCTACAAGAAGCACTGCCTGAACATCAAGCAAAAAGTGGGTGCTAGAAACAATATCATACGAAAGCTGACTGGCACAACATGGGGATCACAACCAGACACAGTGAAGACATCTGCCCTTGCGCTATGCTACAATGCTGCTGAGTATGCATGCCCAGTGTGGAACACATCTCACCACACTAAAACAGTGGATGTGGCTCTTAATGAGACATGCTGCATTATCACGGGGTGACATTTAATCAACTACCAAACTCACAAGTTTTGTATTTTGTCTGTTTGTTTGCTTTGTTATGTTAGAAATGTAATATAATCGACTAGTTGCCCTGACAAGATAAATAAATATTAGAAGAAAGGAAAGATTAGAGAAGAGTATGATGCTGGGGAGAATGGAAGGAAAAGGGAAGAGGGGCCAACCAAGGGCAAGATGGATGGATGGCATCCTTGAAGTGACTGGCTTGCCCTTGAAGGAGCTGGGGGTGGTGACGGTCGACAGGGAGCTCTGGCGTGGACTGGTCCACGAGGTCACGAAGAGTCTGAAACGACTGAACGAATGAACAACAACTACCCTTTACCACTAAGTAAACAAACAGATAAAAGCAGAATGCTTCTGTTAATCCTGGAAAAGGTGAAGTGGACTTAAATAAACCTTTCTTTGACAGCTGTTGAAGGTTTGGCTTCTCCAAAGGACATGAACTGCCTGGGGAAGTAATAATAAAAAGAAACAAGAGACTTATTCATTCAGCAGAGGTGTTTTTGTTCCATTAGCATTGGCATCAAATGACTCGAGTCATGGCTGGCCTGGATGCAGTGATACTTTTGTTTCCAACTTGTGGGAAGTTGGGTTTACTTCCAAGATTTGTTTTGGGCCTTCCTCTGAAGCTGAGAGAGTGTGACTTGCCCAAAGACACCAATATTGAAACAAGGGTTCGCACTGTGGTCTCCAAAATGGTACCCCAACTCTTAGGTGTGCATCTACACTGTAGAATGAGTGCAGTTTGACACCAGTTTTAGTCCAGGCCAAAGTAGCATTGGTGTGCGCATGCGCAAGATGTGTAGGTGAAGGCAGCGAGAGGGGGCGAGGCTGCCTTTTTAGCGGCTGACCAATAGGAGCACAGAAAGAA